CCGGCGACCCCTCCGGCGGCGAGTATTTGCCTAGCAAAGGAGCCGCATTTACAGGGCTGGGGCTCGGGCTAGGGTTGGGGTTAGGGTTCGGGGTCAGGGGGCTTTGCGAAGGGGGTTTCACCGGAGGAGGTGTGGGGGTTACCGGAGGTGTAATGAAGACGGTGTAGCGCCCGGCCTTACCAATGACCGGCGCCGGTGGTGGCGTCGTCAGTTCTCGCGCCGGCGTGGCGGCCATGCCGGTTTAAGGTAAAAAAAGGGCTGTTAGAGAGGTTCAGAGCTGGAGCTAGGGTTAGGGTTCAGGGTGCCGTGATACCGATAGAGAGTGGAAGCACTTTTTCCGCCATTGGTGTCGGGGAAAAGGAAGAGATCCAAGCGTTTTTAAATGGCATCCGATGCAGTCAGCTCCAAGTTAATGGACTGTCTTCCACTTTTTGCAATTACCTTCTTTCCTTTTTGAAATTTCGAAAAATGGTCGCTGCTTTCCTAAGTAAAATTTGATTTATTTTCTTAAAAATTTGCAAATTTTATATTTTAAGGGACTGTTCCTGCATTTATAACTTTCATACTAAAACTTTTATATTTACATATTAACTTTCATGCATTAAATTAATACATGAAAATATGTACTTAATTTTAATAAAATAATAATAATGTTACATTAGTCTCATTCATTTTTAATGCACTTAATTTAATAAATAATTTAATAATATAAATAAATTATTAGTTTTAATAATATTTTATTTTATAATTGCATTTCTTATTTTTAAATAATATGATTATATTTGTTTCAAAATTAGATTTACATATAATATTTTGTTTATATTGAGAAAAAAAAAATAACATATTAAAAAAATTATTTCTTGTTAATTTATTACATATCACTCAATTTTTATGTATTTACATATCCAACACATAAAATCTAATTTTTATATAATATATCATTTTATTTATGCATTAAAAATTTATTATTTTTAAAAAGATTAAACCTTTAGGTGGTACAAATATAAAAAGAAAATTTTTGGTGTTAGATATATTAATTTATAGGAATGGGGTGGTATGTATGTAAATGTAAAGTTCTATTTTGTAATTTTAAATGATAATTGTGATCTACACGCAAACAACTAGGCTCTTCCCTTGTGTATCGTGGGAACACGATCGGAACCTCATGCGGCAGCCAACTGGCAAAACGTAAATGATCTTTCCATACCTTTCTTATTTATTTATTTATTTATTATTTAAAATAAATTAACATCTGGATAATTTAATCATTTATTTATTTTTATTTACTGAAAAAGAAAATTTGAAAAGATGTTAGAAGATAAAAAGAATACAAAAAACATATTTTTATAATAACATTATTTAGAATGAATCCATAAGTAATCAGTTTAAATAAAAGTTATCCTAATTAATTATCATTTAATTTCCAATCAACCTACTAATTACTTACATTAATGAACATTACATATAATCAATACTTTTTTGATAGGATTCTTGATTAAGTTAGATGAATAATTAGGCCTAGTTGGAAGTGGAATTTTAGAACAATCTTTTATTAGATTTAGATTGCTATTAGGAATAACTTTATTTAGCTAATTATTGCATATAAATCATATAAATCTTCGTCATTACACTAATTGATCATTAATTATATTGATTACCATCTAATTAACATAATTTTATTTAGCTTTCCCTCTGTTTAGTGGTAGGTGAACTACATTATGCTTAAAAGGGCAGTATGCTCATATACTTTCTAGTTTTATAAGCACCCACAAGTCGATATTGATTAATTAATCGAGCTTGAGCTCGAGATTAAGTCTACGAGTTTGAGCTGATTTGCTCATTGTAAAAGAGAGAAAATAGTATTAACTCAAACCAGTGATAATAAAATGACAAATAAATAAACAATTAGAGAATAAATAATAATAAATCACTTAGTATAAAATATAAATTTTTAAAAGTATTTTAAATAATTTAAAGATAAAATCTTCAAATTTAATATATTTTTAGTGTATTTTATATTAAAATATAAAACAATTTTTGGTTTTTAAATTAAGCTTATCATTTTTGATTTGGAGAACAAGTTCATTTTGGCCCACTAAATTAGATCATACTTGTTAGAATGAATAAGAACATGAATAAGTTTATATCACTCTAAGTTAAGATTAGTTAGAGTAACTAGGATTATCCAACAAAATTAACATATAGTTCCCATACAATAACTAATTGCTATTGAAAGATAACATTTGTTCTGTGTTAGATATTAATTTTGTTGAATGTTGATAAGTTGAAAAAACTAATTAGTATTTAATTTGATTATTGAGACTTTTTTTTTTGGTATCTATTTCATGTTTGTTTGCTTTTTTTTTCTTGGGTGTTTTTTAAATACAATTTGATTTATTTAAAAAATAAATAAATAAAATGTGCAAAAAACACATTAAATAAATATATTTTAAAAAAAAGAAATAATGCTTGTTTTAAAATAGGATGGATATAATGAGTAGAAGAATAATTTTTCTTATTTTAATTTAGGCTTATTAAATACACACATGTAACATGTCAGGTGACATAAGTTTGATCCATTGGATCTTTAGCACGTCACACTTATGTCAATCTCGATGATTTAACTCGCACAGCTCCCCAGGATTGCCCAACAAACAATGATTGTTAAAATATCGCAACCAACACAGGCTCGCTACCAAAGCATGCTGACAAATGCAAATGCAAACAAGCCACACACAAGGTTCAACACAGTGATTACTCACATGGGGTATGAGCCAACACGATGGAAGATCATCAAGCAGCACATAAATAACAGAACTCAAATGCACACATGTTGCACACTCAATGGATTCAGAGGTTTCTAAGTCATGAGCTGAAACGAGTGAACAACATGCAAAGCTTGTGGCAACCAAATGGTGCCACACGAGGTGAGTAGTGCTCCCTCCTCTAGGGAAATTCACACACCATAGACAAGCATAGCTAGTCGCCAATCACCAAAGAAATGCGAGTATCAAGCCCTAAACACATGTGATACACATGTGGGGGAGATACCGTGGGTGCCGATGCTCAAAGAGACACCAAATATGACACGTGCTAAATGCAAATCAAGTCATGCACCATCATGCAAATGATGCAAATACACATGCAAAACATACATCATCCAAACATCCAAGTGATGTTGGTCGTTTGACCCATTGCGCCGACCAATTGTGTGATAGAAATGTATCACTTAAAAGAAATTTTATAAGATGATGGTGAGACCTGCATGCTTTATGGCACAGAATGTTGGCCTTTAAAAGAGAAGCATAAAACAAAATTAATTGTTGCTGAGATGAGAATACTTAGGTGGATTAATGGCTTGACTTTTAGAGACAAAATGCAAAGTGAATCTATCAGTGAAAGGTTGGTGTAGTTCCAATGACAGAAAAGATTAGAGAGACCCATCTTAGATGTGTTGGTCACATTAAATGTCAGTCATGCCATCTAATTACCCGGTTAAGGGAGTAGATATTTTTTATTCGACTTATGGGAAAAAACGGCAAAGGTAAACCTAAAAAACTTGGGCATATTGCATAAAAAATCATCTTAATATATTAGAATTAAATAAGAATATGATACTCAATATCACACAATGTAGAAAAAAGATTCATATAGCCGACCCCACTTAATGGGATAAAGGCTTGTTGTTGTTGTTTTGGTGCCCTGGAGAGGATAGTTCTCTTATTGGCATATCTTTAGATGGCACATGGTGCCACCAATACCATTTTGAAGATGAATTTAATAGTTAGTACGGGTAGAATTCATAGGCCACAATCTAATTCATCAAAATTCTTTCATATTTGTTGTAATGAAGCAAAAAATGAGTCGAGCAAACTTTCATCATGGGCGTAATCAAATGGGCCTAGCCTACTTATTTGGCTCATCCCCATCCATTTTTAAACTCTAATTGGTTAGCCTTTACGCGTATTTGCTTAAAAAGCTACACTCAAAGGTCCCAAGGCTGGTCAGATAACATGCTGCCATCCAAATGAGCTTAAGGAATGGCCTATTATACTTTAAAAATATAAAAATCATTATCCCCATTTATACTTTACCCTTCATTTATATTATTATGGGAGAAATTCTATATTAGAAGAAATATTTCCCTCAAAGAAGATTATTCTACTCCTCAAATCATGCATCAAACATTTAATACCATTTTTTTATTTGTAGACCAACCCTATGCTCATGAATAATTAAAATAAACATAATTTATCTTGAATATTAAAAAATAATAATTTATTTATGAAAATGATTAATCATTATCCCCATTTATACTTTACCCTTCATTTAAATATTTAAAAAATTAAGCTTAATTTATTTATGAAAATGATAGTATTTATACAGAATTAATCAAATATATGCTGTTAAAAAAAATAAATGAATAAAACTAAAAACCGAATAAAAAGAACTAAAAAAAGGTTGCAAATACACCCTAAGAAAACAAAATCCATCAACCAAAATTCAACTTAATTCATACACACGCGTTATATCATTTTCTCGTTACAGATAATTACTTGCAGATCACCCAGAACATTCATATTTATAAACTAACCATCCTGAAGATTTTTTCAAACTACCGAACTGATGTATTAACACGTGCCACTATCAAACTATTGAGAATTTGATAAAAATGGAAAACACGGGCTTTACCATGAATTTTGATATTTGAATGAGAATTTGAAAAATGGATGAAACATGGTGGTTGATTTGTGAATAGCAAGTTTCAGGCGAGGCTTGTATGCATTTGGCCCCCTTTATTCAATAATAACAACAAATATATGCCTACTTAATATGATTGTATAAGAAAGTTTAATAGAAACGAGAGCCAGCAACATGCTTCCAGGAGCAGGTACTGATAACGACAAACAACTGATCAAAACTATTACTGTGTAAGAACGTGGCTTCATAGAAGAAAAAAGCTTGCAGCATACAGAATGTACAATAGTGCCATATCTAATTAATAAAAAAATTAATCGGTAAGAGCAAGCAGTTGACAAAAACGTTTAGATTTATTATCTAAATCTTTGGGATAAGTCTTGGGATTGAATTCTTTCTATATCCACCTTGTGATTATATATTGTTGAATTTAAGATTGTCACGTGAATCACACCAAGTAATAGAGGAGAGAACGTAGAGAAAATGAGAGAGATGATAAGCATTAAAAAGTGATGAATAGTGTTTAATAGATTTTCTCTCCCCTAAGTAAAAATGGCGCTCGTCTGTTTATAGGAGAATGATTATTATAAAATGACAATTATATATTAGTCCTATGCAGTCGGCTAGAGAGGGTTGATTGGAGGTGGTCGGGCCGAATGGAGCTGGTGGTCAGACTGAATGGAGGTGGTTGGGCCGAACCGAGCTGGTCGGGCTGAATGGAGTCAGCTGA